GATGAGGTCTCACCTGCCCAGGCGGGTCTCGAACCCGCGGGCTCAGGCAATTCACTCACCCCAGCCTCCCAAAGGCGCGGGATTACAGGCTGAGACACCGAGCCCGGCTAAAAGCCTTATTCTAAAAGTGAAATTTGAGCAAAAACTTGAAGGCGGAGAAGCAGTTAACAGAGCAGATACACAGGGAATAGAAAGAACAAAGGCTCCAAGTTAAAAGCATGCCTAGAGTGCTAGAGAGCATCAGGAAGCTGGGATGGCAGAAGCAAAGTGAACAAGCTGGGAGAAATAAAAAAGTCAGGAAGGCCACAGACGCCTTTTCTCAATAATCTCTACTACATACAATTATCACTATTACACAGTAATCTGCTTTGCATTCAAAGCACTTCAAACTAAATTTCCAATAGTTAATGATATATCTGCATGGATCCAATCATGACTTCCCACTCAGTTCTGGTGATTAGTGGCAGCCAGGGTAAATATATAGAAGAAAAAACTATCTCACAAGAAATTGAAACCATGATCTTGGCTGCATGCGTACAATACTCTAATGATCTAACCAAAAACATGCAACATTTTACACCAGTTTTTTCTTCAGCTGACAGATTCAAGAATTACCATGAATAATTATAGAATTCAAACCATTTACCATGTACTATATCACACCACTTTCATGCAAAAAATCACTATGAGCCATGCCCTATAAAAAGACACATGGCATGCACCTGAACTGAACACAACAAAAACAAGCGCTTTATCAAAACTTGACCAAAAAGTATTATCAATCAAGATCAAAATGGCTAGGAATAGAGATAACTTTAACAGACATAAAGAACAGTCTTCTACTTGTATGCCTAATCCTGAACTGTACCCATCTTTTAAATTAAATTAAATATTAAAAAAAATAGTCTCCTACTTAAAAAATCTCTCTCAAAACTCCACTAACAAACAGGAAAGAACAAAAAGGCACACTTTCAAAAGGACAAACAGACCAAGAATGGAACAAAATACAAAGAAATATAAACAATACTTTGAAGCTAGATAGCAGAAACATAATAACTAACTTAACAAGTCAAAAAAACCAAAAAGGAAACAATGTAAAACCAACAATAACTTTAAAACTAAGAGCCTGCAACAGAGGAAAGTCAGAGAAAAGCTTTTGCAGCACAGAATCGGAAAAGTTTAAAAAGTGGAAGCAGCAGTAACTCCAAAATTAAGGATGGCAATGCAACAGAGAATAGGATGAATGAAAAACTGTATAAAAGCAGTGAGACCAACTATCCCTGTCTAACTTCAGCAGATTTATATTCAGGAAAGCTTGAATCCAAGGGACTCCAAACGAAGAAAAAACTCGATAGGTGAACTAAAGGATCATCCAGACATGTTGAAAGTCCAAATAATAAAAAGTCCAAAAAAAAGTCAGGTGCAGTGCCAGGCCTACAATTTCAGCACTTTGGAAAGTCAAGGCAGGAGGCCCGCTTGAGCCCATGAGTTCCAAATCAGCCTGGGCAACACAGAACGACATCGTCTCTACCAAAAAAAAAAATCAAAAAAATCAGTGGCCAGGCTCGGTGGCTCAGCCTGTAATCCCAGCACTTTGGGAGGCTGAGGTAAGTGGATTGCCTGAGCCTGCGGGTTCAAGACCAGCCTGGGCAACTTGTTGACACCTCGTCTCTACAATAAAGTTTTTAAAAATTAGCTGGGCGTGGGAGTATGCACCTAGTTCTGGCTACTTGGAAGGCTGAGGCAGAAGGATCACCAGAGCCCAGCAGGTTGATTGTGAGGTGGCCGAGAGTGTGTCACTGTACTCCAGCCTGGGCAACAGAGTAAGACTTCAACTCAAAAATAAAAAAGAAGAACTAAAAGATGTGTTATCAGATTAGAAATGTTGTCAAGAGCCATAAAAACAGTGAATGAAAACAAAACATACTAATGAATATCACCATGAAATTTTAAGGTACTAGGAATAAAGATTAGATCCTAAGTCTTCAAGGAAAAAAAGTCACAAAAAATAAGAGTTAATATAGCATAATTCTTCTCACCAGCAAAACAATAAAGCTTTCAAAATACTGCAGTAAAATGATTTATAATTGAGACATCTAAACTCCACCAAACCCCCAATAAAACATAAAGGTAGAACATTTTTTTGTTGACTTTTTGTTTGCAGAGACAGAGTCTCACTCTACCACCCTGGCTGGAGTGCAGAAGTATAAGCATAACTCACTGAAACTTTGAACTCCTCAGCTCAAGCTGTCCTCCTGCCTCAGCCTCCCAAGTGGCTAGTACTACAGAGGTACATGACACCATACCCAATTAATTTTTTTTTATAGAGACAGGGTCTCAGTATGTTGCACAGGCTAGCCTCGAACTCCTGGCCTCAAGTGACCCTCTGGTCTCAGCCTCCCAAAATGCTGAGATTATAAACATGAGCCACCATGACCAGTTGGAAAGGGTAGAACATTTTTGGAATATCAAGGTCTTAAAAAACTTACATCCCTTTAACCATCTTTCTCAAGAAACAATTGGAAGAAATGTTCCACCAGAGGCTGGATGAAGTGGCTCATGCCTGCAATCTCCATACTTTGGGAGGCCAAGATGAGAAGACTGCCTGAGTTTAGGGGTTGGAGAACAGCCTGGGCAATTTGGTGAGATCTCGTCCCTACAATAAATAAATAAATTAGCTGGGCATGATGGCGTGAATCTGTAATTCTAGCTATTTGGAAGGCTGAGGCAGAAAGATCAACTGAGCCCAGCAGGTCGAGGATGTAGTGGCCATGAGTATGCCACAGCACTCAAGTCTGGGCAACAAAGTGAGACACCAGCTCAAAAAATTTAAAAATGTTCCACCAAAGTAAGAGAGTAAATCAAGTAAAAGGAAGACTTGCAACAAGAGAGACAAAGGGAATTCCCAGAATGGCAGTGGTAACAGCAAGTTCCAGAATGACAGCAGACCTTAAAAAACAACCAGCCTGGGCTGGGCTAAGTATGCTCAGTCTGTCATCCCAGCACTTTGGGAGGTCGAGGAGAGTGGATCGCCTGAGCCCACAGGTTTGAGACCAGCCCAAGCAACTTGGTGAGACTTCGTCTCTACAATAAATAAAAAGTTAGCCAGGCATGGTAGCCTGTGCCTGTAGTACCAGCTACTTGGAAGGCTGAGGTGGAAGGATCGCCAGACCCCAGCAGGTAGACTCTGGGGTGGCTGTGAGTGTGTCACTGCACTCCAGCCTGGGCGACGGAGTGAGACTCCAACTCAAGACAAAAAAACAACAAAGGCCGGGCTCGATGGCTCAGCCTGTAATCCCAGCACTTTGGGAGGCCGAGGTGA